TGGATAATGACGCAGAATTGGAAATTGGAGAGCCAGGTTCCAATTCCAGTTGGGTTTCTTACATTCGCTTATGTAAAAATACCCTTGGGTAAGGTATGAATCTATCTCTTCTCCCCACGATTTTATATAATTATGTATAATTATTATATACTATTTCTAATGCCCATGGTTCTCCACAGATTCTTTTTTTTTTTAATTATGTATGAATTTTCATGATTTCTTGGGAAAAACTGTGGTGTGGTTTCCTACTGCCTTCAACATGGTTTTGATGTCAGATTTGTCCTCCTAGACTAGCAGTGAGAGGTTCTACTCTTCCCTGCTATTTAACCCATAATAGGAGGAAAAGGATTCATTCATTTTTCAAAGCTATTTGTGTGAAACTGAATTCAACAGATAAATAGTGGAATTTGAACTCTGCTCCCGTATTCACCTTTCTCTACCAGTAACCATTATGCTACACATGCATCTCCAGTAAGACTACTGCATTAATAAATTAACCTCGTGGGATATATCACCATGTTTGAGGGATAGGATGTGGGATATAATCAGTGAAAAATATATATTAATAAAAACTAATCAATCTGTTCCCATTGTCAAATAATTACCAACAACCACTCATACAAACCCATTCTTCTGATTTACTTATATGTCATCAGTTACAGATCAGGTTCTTAAATTCATTGGCAATGCTATCTCCTGTCTCAAGCTGACACAAATTGCATCACTTCATTATGGGCTGACCGCATCTTTCTTAAATCGTAACATCTCTCTCTCTCAATCTCACAACAAAACCAACACAGTGTTGCTATCAGCAAATCTCATCAGACTTTCTTTTTGTTTTTCTCTCTTTGAAATTGTCAACAGAATTATCAGACTGGCATCATTGTTGATCTTCCCACCTCTCTTCTAAGCTACCTTTATCTATTCCTGACAGTGTATATTTGGCAAAGGAGGTGATGTTTTACTCGGTTTCATCTCCACCTTATCTTGAAATTAGGTAGATGAGAGAAGATTTTCAGGAAAGCACGGGTCGGGAATTAATCACAAAAAAAGCAGTAACGTTTTAATAGACACAATCTGGTTACCTATTCCTTTCTCTGAAAGTTTTCATTAACTGGTGTTCATTGCTGATACACTAACTATATCTGCTGAAATTTTATTTTCTCATATGCTATTATATTGTTTCATAACTACCTATTTGCACTAATATATTGGGTATTTAGGAGTACAAAATAACAGTTTTAATGATGCATTTATAAGATTTATAAAGTTTTTTTTTTGTTAAATGAATACTATTTTTTGCTCAATTTACTTATCTCCAATACTAAATTTGTTATAACTGATCCATACACCAAGTGCTTAGTATTTATTAATTCCATGTTCTGAATTTTTATGATTGTACAGTCCTTTGTTTGCAATTCTATAGAGCTAGTTTATGAAATGTGCTGAAGGAACAATCTTCTTCAAGACATACAAAGGTACATTTGCTTGAAACCACTTTTGATCATTGATCTGAGAAAAAGGTTGTGTAGAGCAGATAGGTTAGACATTTCTGAATGAGGTTGATGCCATGTATGACATCCACCTGAGAGTCTAGATCTGACAAGGTTATTTAAGAACATGACTCGTGTTCTTTGGTTAATATTTTGGTTTTGTAGCATCTTTTGGTGTTAGACAAAGGTACGCCTAGCACAGATTTTAACACGTTCACTTTCCTTATCTCCTCTAGTAAATTTTTTATTGATTGCTTATCAATCCTTTGCTCATTATTTAAAGCCAGAAAATATTTTTAGATTCTAAGATTTTATTTTTTAGAGATAATAATGATTTAGGGATACAAGTCTTACTTATTAACCCATAGTTGGTGGGAGAAGAGATAAATTCATACTTTTCCCCAAGTAATAAACTCAACTGGAGTTAGAACTTGGCTCTCTGATTAACAATTCTGAGCCATTATCCATTATGCCACCAGCACATCCAAGTTTACAGTACTTGATATCCCAAGGGGTTATCCATCTAAGTACTTACCAGGCTTAGCATTGCTTAACTTAAGTGCTCGTATAGGGACTGGTGTTACAATGTGATATGGTCATAAGTCCCTAAATTTGTTGTAACTGATCTATGCACCAAGATATTTGAAGTGTTTAGTATTTATTAATTTCACATTCTGAATTTTTATGAGGACTTCAAGATATCTACCATTGTTGTTATCATTCAAATTCCCAATCATAGTTTCTGTTTTGAAAAGTTTCATCTTGAGTCCTATTTCTTGAAATACTTGGTAAAAAAAATGTTGATATTTTTTCATTAACTGTTTTCATTTTTAAATACTTTAGTTTATTTATAGTCATGACTTTAAATTGCTTATTTATTTATCTATTAAATTCATTATTTATATATTTCATTTAATTTTTATTTATATAGTTCTGTTAGTTCTAAATCTTAGTAATTGAAAGTTTTAAGCTATAGGATTTTATTTAGTATTTGGAATTATGTTATTGTAGGTAGTGTAATATGAATTTGTTTTCATGTCTGTATTTGAAAATGAGCTCAGATCTTTTGTCTTAAAATTTATCTTGTTCTGGAAAGGTAATTAATATTATTCTATTATATAAACTTTTTTATTCAATGTGTTCCTATAAAGCACAACTTTTATATGCTATCATGCACACTCATCTTTTTTTATTTCAGCTGTAAACCATAATCCCTTCCAAACTAAATTATCTGTGTTTTCTAGCATTTTTACATAACATTTGGTGGTTTAAATTGTGAAATAAAAAAATTCTTTTAGCTTCTTGAGAAACTTGGCAAGTATTACTCACAAACAGAAGAGGGCAAAAATGATTTACTTAGCTCAGATTCAGATGAGGAAACTCCTGTGTACCATTAACCTGCAGCGGTCAATAGAGGAAAAAAACACTTTATTTGAGATTATAATGCATCTTTCTTCTTTCACTGCTTCCATACAAGCACCACACCCACCAATCACATCAACCTTTCTATTGTAGCTTTGAAAGAAAACACATTTTTCAAATATCATCCATGTTTTTTTAAGCAAGCTATAATAACATGCAGTGATATTTTATTCAAATACACACACACACACACACATATATCATGCATTAACTGTGACAACAGATTTTGTCAAATAATTCTGATATATAGACTAAAAATATACAAAATTAAACTCCAGATATTAAGATTTGCTTTTTATACAAAGAAAATAAAACCTAGGAACAGACATAAAAAAATAAAACAAGCAAAGAAAAAGAAATTCTTCATAATGGTTGTTTGAAGGCCTCTTGGTGCTGGACGGTAGATTATGTAGATCTGAATCATGAAATATATATATATATATATAAAACAAAAATAACTTTCATCAATACAAAGAGTATGTTGCTCTCCTCCACCCAACCCTGAAAAATAGAGAATGTTAATTTCATGGTGGAAAAAGCACACAGCCAACACTACATTTGCTAATTTGCTTGTTTCTAAAGAAATTGCTTTGCTCCGTTTCTTTAGGGGAAAAAAAATCACCTTTCTTGTATGGCAAATTTCTTAATAAAGTCAGGAAACGAATTCAATATTTTTTTATTCAGTCATTTAAATGATTTCAATTCTTTACATGTTTTCTCATTTCATTTTAACTTCTGTTTTTTTTAATTTCTCTTGTATTTTTCCTTTACATCTTTCTATTATTAATCTTTTCGTTCTTCCAAAATTGTTCTTGTCTGTTTTTTTCCTGTCCTCTCAGATTTTTGCTCTCCTTTTTCCATCTTTCTGATTTCCTCCTTTTTCAGTTCTTTTTTGTGCCATCCTTTATTCATTACTTTTACCATTTTTGTTGTTCTTTTTTTTTCTATATGCCTTTCAAGATGTGGGCAATCATCAATCTCCACAATGTCCTGTCTTTTGTAACCCTAAGAAATTTTAACCCTTTACCACCTCTATTTGTCCTTTTTCTGTCGTCCATTCAAACACATTGTTGTTGACTGATTGTTTTCCATTGCTTCTCTTTCTTTCATTATCTCCTGTGAGCACTGTTTACTTAAGGCTCTTATTTATTACTTTCTGTCCCCGAAATTTCAGTTTTGTCTTTCTGATTCTAAGTCTAAATTTTCTTGTGGCCCCATTTTTATTTTTTTACTTTGAAACTTCTTCACTTACATCTCTTCCTCCTTATTTCAATTTGTTTTTATTTTTTCTCTTATATTTTTCTTTCAATTCTTTTTAATATTACTCTTTTCTCTTCTTCCAGAATTTTTCCTTTTTTTTTCTCTACTCTTTCTTTTTCTGCTTTCTAGTTCCATCTTCTTTCAGTTCTCTCATATCTTCCTCTCTAGTCATCACTTTTACATTTCGTCTTCTTTTACTTCCTTTCCTGCAATCATTGGTCTCCACAGTCCCCTCTCTTTTGTAGCTCTAAGTAATTTTAATCCTTTGCCACCTCTATTTGTCCCTGTTCTGTCAGCTATTCACACATACTTGTTAAGTAGGTCCACACTGCTTTTCTTGCCTTTACTACTTCCTGTGAATTCTAAATAATTTTCCCCACTTACCATCTTTCTTTGTTTTTGTTCTTATGACTTCATATGCTATGTGAATATTAAATTCTCCATGTCCTCTTTTCTCATCATGTGTTTCAGAAATATTTACCCTGATTGTAAGTTTCCTAACAGTTTCTATTTCTCTTAGAACTTTTTCATTGTTCACCTGTTCTGTCTATGGTATTCTTAACATTCTTTGGTAGAAACATATCTCTGTAACTTCAAACCTCATCTTAATCTGTCTCGCATTCACATCCATATTGGTGATTAGACGTTATACAGCAATTCAGCACTTTGTTTTTTCTTTCTAATGATATTTTTCTATGTCTTAATACTTTGCTTAGTTTCTGGAAGACGTCATTCACTTTTGCTTTTCACCTTCAGATTTTTAACCACATTTCTTTTGATGCCTATTATTTTCTCCATTTCTTATTCATCTTCGTTTCTTTGGCTTATGGTCATATCACATTGAAACACTGATTCGCTTAGGATCACCAAAGTTAAGCAATTTCAAACCTGGTCAGTACTTAGATGGGTGACTGCTTGGGAATGCCAAATGCTGTAAGCTTGGATGTGAGGGTGCTATAATGGATAATGGCTCAGAAGTGGAAATTGGGGAGCTGAGTTCCAATTCCAATCAGGTTTATTATATATAGTTATGCATAAATACACTTCAGAAAGGTATGAATCCACCTCTTCTCTCCCCAGCTATGGATTAGTAAGTAGGACTTATATCACTAAAATCATTATTGTGTCTCCTAACAATCTTAAAATCTAACAATATTTTCTTGTTTTAAATAACTTTCAAAAGGTTGATGGCCCATAAAAAAACAAATCACTGAATAAATCAATTTCTTTTCCTTTTCTGTTCTTTTATTTTAACTCACTTTTCAATTTTTGATATTGTTATCCTTTTAGCATGTCTTTTTTTTTTTTTTTTAGTTTTTTCAATCATTGTCTCAGAATTTATGTTCAGGAATAGTATCTCTGATAATTTATGTTAAAATTTATTATATAGTAAAATACTGTAATTTATTATTTACATTCAGGAACATCTCTGATAATTTATATTTGTCAACATGTTTTTTTTTTTTGTTTTAAATTAGAAGATTTTATAGATTCTTTTTTGCGTTTTTGTATGAAAAAGCTGCAAATGTCTTCTTTCTTAAAACCAGCCTGCATTCCATCTAAATCTTTAGACCTTGCAAAATATCTATTCACTAATGAATCAAACGTTTTTTTTCTACTAAAGTTCATCTAAATTCTAATGATTAAAATTAAGTTTCCATGCACATGCATTACAGAGGATCTCTCCTTGAACAGCAATACGATTGCATTAGTCAAGAAGATACATCAACAAAACTATTTCCTGAAAATTCTCAGAAAAAATAATTTATAAAAGTAGTCTGATGACCTTCAACTGGTGCTCTTTTGAGAGCATGATGACACACTGAATCACTGTTTGGTATGCCAGCTGGCAAGAGAGCCCTCCAAAGGATTATACATGTTTCCCAGAAAATAATTGTTTGCTGTTCTCCTTGGAGGACATTTCTAATTCTCATTGTTGCAGCAGAGCAGAAAACAATGAAAGAGAGCATGCATCCTCAGTACTACTGTTACCCCCCCGTTACAATGTTTCAGCTCTATTAGTTCTAGAACAAAACATTTGAAGGACAGCTTTTATCCTTGGGCCCTGTGTAAAAATTAAAACTGCCACAAACAAAAAATTTCCAATGTATTTTAAATGTTCTTCATTTGCTAGTTTTTTTTGGGGTTTTTTTTGCGTGTATTGATGCACCTGGTGGCTGCCGTCCAACTTCATTGTGCATTGCACAGTGACAAGAAAGAAAAATAAATAAATAAAACTGTCTGTGGGAGTGTCCAGATAAGATTTCAAATTCTTACTAAAACATATATTTTCTAGAGAACCATTTCCAATCTGTCTTCTTCGAAATAGCAAATCTAACATGCAATTTTGAAGAAACGTAACCAGTTTGAGTGAACAAATGGAAGGACAGGGACAATGAAGATGTTAATTGGTCAGAAGTATTCTAGAGCAACAAAAAACAAAAAAGGCACAAAAAAGAATACCTAATTTTATTGATTTCTAAGTAAACAATTCCTACTGCATTTTCATAGCCCATCAATAAAAAAAACCATAGAGTAAGTTTCAATAAGAGACCCTGAAGAAGTAATTGCTTCTTCATGGTCTCTAAATGGAGAATACAAAGTTTCTTTCAGCTTCCCAATCCAGTCTTTATTGATCATCCAGCATTACATAATTATGGATCATAATTTTATGATCATATTATGGATCCCTTATCTATATTAGTTTATGATAGTATTCTTCTTCTTTATATGCTGTATCTCCTCAGGGCATAAGCAATCGTGGCTCTCCACTATTTTCTGTCCTTTACATTTATAAATAAATTCTGTCTTTTCTTTATTTTTAAACCCTATTCATCATCCATTTTCTTAAGCTTGTTAAGTATATTATGCATTTTTCTACCTCTGTCCCTCAATATGTCCTGTGAGTAACAGATTTTCATAGACCTTTTTCTTTGTTATGTGCCCCTGAAATTTCAAACATTGCTTCCTAATCTTAAGTATAAGTTTTGTTTTTGTTTCCATTTTCACCAAAACCTTGTTAATCACATATTTAATTCATGGTATCCTTGGTATCTTTCTGTAGAACGATATTTCTCTTGCTTCAAGTCTCTTCTTCATTTATGGATCTTATTTTCTATGAATTATATATGAATAAATCTGTAGTCTCTTACAAAATGTGAATGCTAGTCTTATGTAAATGCAATCATTTTCAAAGATAGCAAGAAATCCCCGTTTTGGACTAATATCTCTCGATACAGTGTACCCCCTCTGATCCACCTTTTGGATTTATAGTAAGTTATTCAGCTTAGCTCTTCCTAAAAATTTCATGTGCTGCTCACAGTTGGGAGCCAATGTAAAAATTATATGTGGTAATATAATATTAATACATCTACTTAACAAATGCATCTTGCAATGTAAATAATTTAAACAGTGTTTCTTTTGATTGTAATAAAAATTGAAACTATAAGTTGATGTAATGTTTGTACTATTGTACTGTGATAGTAATTCTGTTCAGTTTTGAAACTGATCCCTACAAATACATCTTGAGGGGATCATCCCAAATCAGATTTGAATGTATGGAGATGTACATTAAAAGAAGAAAGATAAATTTCCCACAGTTTATAAGCCTCACCTTGATAAATCCAGAAATTGCTAGTTTACCGGTTTGAGTGATATTTGAACAAGGAAAAAATGTAAGCAGTCCAATGCTAATGTTTTTATAAACTTTTTTTGCATCAGTAAACAGAATGAGCACATTCCCAAGACAATACATCAAATTTGATGAAGTCTGATTTGTAATTTTCGAAAAATACAGACTCCTATTCAAAGTACTCCCAAATGTATTGGATATGAGATTTAAAAACAAAAGACCTGATACAGACCAAATGGAACATCAGTGAGAATTAGATCAAAAATAATAATGGATCTTGGTTAAAAGAAAATCATTCAGTTATTATCCAAGTTTCAGTTGAAATCATATCATTACCCATGTTTCGTTAATTTGAATTGACTCCTGCTCATCATTACTTAATGTACTGACTCACAGCTACATTAATCTGCATTCTATCACCATGTAAAGACATAAAAAGGAAAGAAAAATAAACTAGATCCTCTTTTTCTCATTATTATATTGAATTTTTTGTATATCCACACCATTGCACTCTAGTTAACAAATGTCCAAGTATTGTCTTTCACTTCACTTTATCTAGCAAAATGGTAAGCATTGTCTGACAGATACTGATGGGGCATGGTGAATTAGATGTATTGAGTTCATGACTAAATTTGAATACGATTAGCATGTCTTGAATTGTTTTTTCTGATTTTTCTTCAAATTTTAATTGAAAAAAATTGTCTAAGTTTAGAGGTCTGAAAATCAAGGGATTTCAAGAACTTCTGTACTGGAAAATGTGATTGTATCTTGGAACAAAAATTCTCAGTTTCAAAATACATTTGATTATTTAGAAACTATAAAGACTTACTCTATTTACATTATTCAGACTATTGAATTCATCTTTGTCACCATATTTATTACAATGTTTCGGCTGTTGTACACTCCGGCCTTCTTCAGGTAGTTGGATTGTTGAACTGAACCCTTTATTTCGCTCACTGTAGACTGTTCTAGTTCCACGTGCCATGTTTTTTAATGGAGGTCAGTTATCTCCTGTAAATTCCCCTCTCCAAGTTCTCCACTGCCTTAACCAGGTATTGAACTCACACTCTTTAGATCCTGTCACTGGATCTAACCAATGCTTTTATCTACTGTGCCATGTGTTCTTGAGGACATCTGTGTATGAATTTCTAGGTCTAATAAACCTAATGTCATCAGCAACCTCTTTTTTTTTACCAGTGGTCATATTGCAATTTTTTGCTGTTAACATTGCATGTTTTCACCAGAGATCATATTGCAATTTTGTTGTTATTATCACTTTTCTCTGGTACTCCTTATTACTCGTTCCCATATTGTATTCATTTCTATGCTTGGTCAGCTCAGGTGATTTTTGTCGCCTAGCATATGTCCCGATTCCTTAAGTTTACAAATTTTCTATTGGTTTTCTTTGTCTATGATTTCAACCTGATCCCACAGAGGACAGTGATCTCCCTTTTCTCTCCATATGTGGTCAACTATGCCTGATTTTTCCTCTTCCCCTCATGTTACAGCTTTCTGGTGTTCTTGAAGCCTTACCTTAAGCGGGCAGCCAGTCTCCCCTTTATATTTCTTTCCGCAGCTGCACGGGATAGTGTACACACAGTCTAGGCCATAAAAATCTCCTGAGCCGACCAAGCATATGAATAAAGACAAAAGGAAAAGTTATCTTAGCTGACATGTTTTTTTTTTTCTTCTGAGAAACTTTATCAAGGCAAATACAAGTTTCATAACATGCATTTATATACAAGAGCAAAAATATTAGTTTTTTTTTTTTTAAATTTTTAACTAAAAGAAATGCTCATGAATATTCATCAGGTTAACTGAAAAGTCAGACAGGTTATGGGAGACACAAAGTGCTACAATTCAATGTCCAATAAATGGGAGTGAGTAAGTAATGTTTTTGATTTTTTTTATGCAAGATAGTATTTAAATTATTTTAGTTTGGGATTAATTTATGCATTATATATTTTGAATAGCATGAGCTTGTGGATTTAATTGTTTTCTTTCAATTTCTTAATATTTTTGTCATCAAGTATGTTGGCTTGAGAAAGGAATTCTTTCAGGAATAAGGATATTAGAATAATCTGGGGCATAGATTTATATTTTGATAAGATTCGATAGCAGCACTCTTGAGAATTTTCTTTCTTCGTAAATTACTTTTTATTTTAATAAATGTGGTGCTGTTTAGATCAAAGGTGTAGTTGAATTTAATTCTTTGTTTATCAAATGCATTAGTTATACATAGAAATAACTTTAAACAGCTTGCAGAGAAGAAGTAATAATTCTAAGCTTTGTTGTATAGAAGTAGTA